CTGTTAAAGCTTAGCCTCAAACAAGTTTCAAAACTCCTCACATGCAGCAGTGGCTGCTGGAGGTTTCTGCAATGCATATTAGGTGGATACAGGAGTAAAATCTAATAGCATTCCAATTCATGATGAAAGATTCATGAAATCTGTCACCAAAGTACCATCAGACTAAAATCAGACTTAAATACAACCACAGTACAAATTCCGAGATCTGGACGGCCAAAATCCGGAACTCAAAGCCACCACACTTTTATACAAAAAAAATTATTTAGGTTAATCTTTAGATTATGGTAACTTGGAGATTTTTTGGCGAAAATTTGGCGACCAACCCTGCTACAGCAACTTGATAGGTGTTTTGACGGACGCAAATTTTGTTTTTACTTCCCATGTGTTTTTCCCCACATTTTGGATAGCCCGCTTATGCTTTGATGAAACTTTTATGGATAAAAAAGTTTTAATCATTAGACCTAAGATTAGGTGCGAACTTTTTTTCCCTCCAAAGTGGCAATCGCAAACTCTTTGCCGCGTTTTTCAAGCATTTGCACATACACCGGTTTTATACATGGACCACGTCGACCTTTTTCACTTAAAAAAAAAAATCCACAGGAATGCACAAAAAAATGGGGCATTGCGCAACCATTTCTACCATGTAACCCTTGACTAAAAGCCTAGCGATAGAAACCTTTATGCCTTAACACAAAAAAAAGTCGCCCAAATACCTTGTTACAATATTCCAAAGATTGCCTTTATTATTATTTATGTGTGGGCTTTTAACCAATTTTCCACATTTGGATTCCCTCCCTGCCCCAAACCAAATTTACAAAAAAAAAAAAAAAAAAAACCCCCCCCCAAACAAAAAAAAAAAAACAAAAAAAAAACAAAAAAAAAAAAATTTTTTGGAAGAGTCCGATTCCTTTAAAAATTTCCACTTCGGCACAATAATTAAAAAAATACCCTTGTTTAATTGAAGGGGAAAAAAAACAAAAAAAAAACAAAAAAAAGAAAAAGAAGGAAACATTCATTTAAGCATAAAATTTTTGTATGGAATCAATAACGTCGGGCTCCGCAAGCTGGGTATCTGTTGGGATACGGGGGGGGACCATTTTCTCGAATCGAAAAAAAAAGCCTGATTTTGTTACCCCATTACCTGATGCCAAACCTGGCCAAAATTCATTCATTTATAAATATTTTAGTTGCAATCACTGCATGTTTTATTCAAACATGAAAACAAAACTTTGTGTTTAAATGTTCTTCAAAGGCGGGAAGGCCTAACCCTTTATTAATGTTGGACATTACCACTTGGGTTGATTGATTTTTTAACAATTAAGTTAAAAAATTCTGGTTAGGAAATGTTTACCAGGAAAAAAAAATTTAAACAAAAAATATTTTTTTGTCATATTGCCTAAAAAAATTAAAGGGGGAATTAACCTTTGATGTGGCCCTGCAAGTCGCCAAAATCTTCACGCCGCTATTACATTATAAATTTTTGGTCTTAACATTGGTGAACTTTTAAGATTAAAAAAAAAATGGTTCTCCAAAAAAAAAAACGCGTGTTTCGCAACATACAAAAAAAAAAACACTAAAGTTTTGAAAAAACACAACCAATTTAAGCTTAATAAATCCAAAAACAAAAACAACAAAAAAAAAAAAATTTTTAAGGGATAGCAAAACGGTAAAGTTTCTACCAAAAAATATTGGGACGAGTAAAATCCATGTAACAGCAACATGTTGTAATTTAAAAAAAAAAAAAAAAAAAAAAAAAAAAAAAAAAAAAAAAAAAAATATAACGAAATTGGCCACAATTGTAGGCAAACGAACGGAAAAAAGGAATCTTACAAACTACGGCAAGACCCCCGTTTTAATAAATTAAATAAACATAAACAAAACAAAACTTAAATTTCAAAGACTGGAACCATGTTTACACAGTACAAAATTAAGGTTTTAAACGTTAAAAACAAAAAAATTCTTACGAATTGCCACAATTTAGGGGAGAGAAGAAATCTTACGATCACGCCCAATCCCCTCGCTTTAAAAAAATTTAACAAAAAACAATTTTAAAAAAAAAATTTTCAAAAACATAAATAACCATTGTACACAGGGTTCTGTGTCAACTTTAAAAAAAAACAACTACGGAAATTGTACAGTCTAGGGACAATAAAAAAAACAAATAACTAAACTAAAAATAAATTTTCAAAACATTTAAAAAAAAAAAAAAAACCAAACAATTAAACGACAGGAAGAAATTCAATTATAAGAAAAACACAATGAAATAACATTTACAAAAAAATAAGAAAAAAAAGGATAAAAACTAAAATGCAACTTTACCCATGAATAATGCCATTTTACGAATAGAGCAGGGAAAATAAAATTTTCTTACCGCCTTTCCCCCAACAAGGGCCGCCCACGGTAAATCCCACTAATCGTTATTTACAATGACAGCCCAGGAACCCCCCACCAACTATTCCAAGAAAAATTTAAAATGGTTTTTTTTTTTTTTTTGTGTTTTGTTTTAAATTTAATGTATGGTTTCAAAATAAATAAAATGTTTCACAAATCCCCTTACGTTTCTATCATTTGCCCACTGCCATTTCATTAAAAAAAAAACAATAAAAATTTCTCCAGGACCTCTTTCCACCACTTCCAAATTAAAACCACTACACCTCAAACAGGATAGGCCAACCAATTCATAATTTCCTTTGTGCCGAACAACTTTCAATTAAACAACTACCATTTTATCCTTTCTTTCCCATTCTTTCTCAGGGGACCCAAGAGGGAGAAAAACAAACGAGCCTCAAGTGGAAAGATTTTTCAACGGGGTCCCAAAAAACCCAGGGGTGCCCATAGAAAAAAACAAGCAATCGCAACCCAAAAAACAGCAACACAGGAAAAAACAAAAAACATATCGCCCACATTGTTGGTGTGAAAAAAATTAGGGCGTATATTAGGAGTGTACCAAATTAAAATTTTGTTAATTTTGGATAACTCAATAGGTTTCCAAAAAGAACACTTTAGTGCTATGAATTAAGGAAATAAACTGATTGTTATTTTGCATAAAAAAAAAAAAAAAAAAAAAAAACCCATAATCCAAAGCGCCAGAAGCTCGTAATGGTGCATCGAGTGGCAGGATTTTTTTAGGGGGAAAATAAAAAAAGGGAGCATTTGGTATAGCAGAATTTAGGGACCCGCAACAGACTACGCATTAGGGAACTATTGTTGGGGAATTTTTATTATTCGGACTAAGATTTAAGGCTTAAGGCATTTTTGTGGCCAAGGGAATGTTAGGCGTAAGTTTATGAATTAAAAAAAACTAATAACAACATTCAAGGCTTTTTAAATTGTCTCAGGTTTTGTGTGATAGAAAGGAAGATTAAAAAATTTAACAAAAAAACAAAAATTTGTCGTTTAGTCTCCAATTCTTCATTGTTTTAACATTAAGGGCCAAATATGCCCATAAGTGAAAAAAAAAAAACAGTAGCGAAAAATTTTATGATGGATAGCAACGGAAATCTGATTGGTTTTTCGAATGTCCGTTTAAAACCAAAAAGGTGAAAATTTTTTTCTAAATTAACGTTTTGTAAATTTAAAACTTGGAAGATGTTTATTAAAAAGGGGGGAGTTTTTTTATTTGTTTGATGATAAAAATTGCTTTCCCTTATCAATCAAATTGGTGTGGGGAAAAATCTGAGCCAGTATGGTTATAAGATTCCAGGGGGGGGAAATATAAAACCCACTACTGGATAGTTTGAAGGAAAAGTGAGGAGTGGTTTACTGGGGGGAAAGATTTAAAAATTGTCAAAACTTGGACAAAGTTTAGGGGTTCAGGAATCCTTAGGGACAACAGGAAAAAAATTTTTTACAGGACTTTCAACAAAATGGGAAAAACTTTGTCAATTGAACGAAGGAAAAAAAAAAAAAAACAAAAATTAATTTAACAAAAAAATCTGTCTATTAGAATTAATTAAAAGAGCCACAAAGAGAGAAATTATAGGTTTCCCAAAAACCAGTGAGGCAGAATTTAAGGGAAAAAAAAATACGGTAATTCTCTTTTTTACAGATTGAATGCTTTATATAAACTGTCACAGATTTCTATATTGATATTTTCCTTTAATGAAAATTATTTTATAAATTGCTTAATATTTTTAATATTAAAACTATTTAAAAAAATGTTAAATAAATAAATAAAATGCTGTACAGAAAATTTCAGCTCCCATACCCATGAACAACCAGAACTTGTACCTGAACTATCTCTGAAATTAATTAATTACCAAAATCAGCCAAAATCTGCACTAAACTAAGAATGCCATTTAAAAAATTTTTAATTTCAAAAAGTACAAATACTTTGCTTCTTTTCTTAAATTACCTTAATTAATCAAGAAATTCAGTTTAGCAGTATCTTACATTTTAAAAAACATCATTTATTTCTAATCATTTTTGTGAAATCAATAACTTCAAAAGGGTAGAAGAAATAATTATTAAAATTACAGCAGAAAAATTATGGCTAAAGTGCAGAATCGCCCACTTATTTGGTTGGCGCTTTTTACAAGAGTAAGAAGGAATTGGATTTTTGTCAATTTTAATGGAAAATCCGTTTGATGTGCACATGGATAAAGTTAGAGTGTGCCGCAAGCATTTTTTGTGCAATCTGGGATTTTTTTTTAAGCGAAAATGGTGATGACAGGGATACCGAGTATGTGCATTTTAAAGCGGGCCAAGAGTGGTCGTTCGCACTTCCCCAAAATTATGTGACAAACTACAAAAAGCTACAAAATACAGTGAAAAATGGATAATATTAATGACCAAAAGGCATATAAAAATAAAATTACACAAATCACTAATTTAATTCCTAATTAAGAATAGAAAAGCAATACTTTTTAAATACACTAACATATTGAATTTGATTATAATTAATAGATTAAATCTAATTAGTCTACAATAAAAGTCACATTTATTGAAATTTAAAATTCTGTTTAGTTTCTCAGATATTTATAAATAGGCCTAAAAATTACCTGCTGGGGAATCATCACTTCCACCATCCACATCACCACCTTGTTTGAGATCAATTTCCATAGCTAATGGTGGAGGATCTATCAGAAAAATATTAATAAGTACTTGCTACACAAATCACAATTCTATCCAATAATGTAATTCTAACATACATAACAAACTTTACATGTATCTATTAACTTTGAATAATTACTTATAATCTTTGATATATAACTCATTTTGAAAATGTATTTAATAAAATGTTAAAGTATAGACAGAGTTTATAAAAGTAAATAAAATTTGAAAAATTCATAATACTGAAATTGTGACATAGCACTTAATAAAGCTTTGGAGAAGGGACATAACATCAGTTACTGTACACAGATCTTGAACAGAGGAAAAACACAAAATAAACAAAAGAGAGCATTTGGGAGTACTTTTAAAATAAAGTACGAGACATTAACTTTTTTCTAAGAATGGAATAGTTGGTTAAAGTGCAGAATTGCTTACTTATTTGTTTAGTGCTTTTTAACCGAAGTACGAGGAATTGGTTTTTGCATGTTCTTGACTTTTAAGTGAAAATAGGTCAATGTGTATTGGATACTGGAGTGCGCAATGCCATTTTTGTGCAATTCTGGGATTTTTTTTAAATAGGTCGATGTATACATGATACCGAGTATATGCAATTCTTAAAAATGCACCAAGCAGTGGACAATTCTGCACTTTCCCCGAATAATTTTTGACAACAGATACATAATTTGTACTTTTCAATTATGCACCTGTCATGAATGTTAAGTACTAATGTCGTTGGAGAGTGTGTTATTTTTGTTTACACACACACACACACACAGTATGCTACTGTTGGGTCTTGGCATGTATCTGGTTTCTCTTCACATGTGGCAATAAAATGCAACAAGTGCATAATAGGAATACTAAAAAGTTTAACTTCTCTTGCCTAACTTGCTAATAGTAATCAGGATTAAATTGGCATACACTTCTAGTATGCTAGTTTTGTTCATAAGCAATGAGGTCAATATTTTTGTACTTGAAGGATCATATTTAATCGAATTGAACAACACAGATGATGAGAATTATGTATGTATTATGTTACTCATAAGCAAAGCTGTAGCTTATTTTGTATGGTTTTATAATGAACGACTGCTCTATATTAACATTATACAGAAGAAACTGAATGAAAACAGCTCTGTAGCAATATGTTTAAAAAACACAAAAATCACAAGCAAACGGAAAAACACTTTGGTACACAAGTTCATTCCATGGTGAAGGAAATCAGGTTACAGGATTTAAAAAGCTTCTTCCAGCAATCACTTCCTTGAGGGAAGAACATATTATTAGTTTCAACTTTATGAAAAAATATCGCAAAGCTAACACTTTATACAAAGAATCAAACCAATATTTTTGAAACGCATTTATGTTACTGGTGTGAGATGTTGCTAGTGAACACCAGTAAGAAAAGCGTAGTATAACAAAAAAGTCATTTTAAGCCGATTAAAAATTTATTTAAAAAGTAATAGTTTATCTACATTCAGGAAATATCTTTTGCAACATATGGTTTAGGCTTGGAAGAATTTTTTATAAATGATACTTCGTTTCATCCGTATAACTCATAACCCAGACTTCGCTGGAATGGCATGCATGTCAACATGCCGGTTGAAAACAATAAACGCTTGATTATGGAATATTATTGAAATATAAAATTCCTCTCACCTGGTACAGGCTGCTTTTCGGTTTCAGAATTAGCTTCGTCTTCTGAAACAGGGTTTTGTGCTTGAGCTGCTGCTAAAGTCGCAAAAGATGGAACGAATGGCGGTGCATCCACATTCAGTCCTAGAAAAGGCTTCGACAAATTATCGCTGTCTTCTCCATTATCTAAGGCACCGTCAGAATGTTGTTCCCAAGAATCTGGGGTGCCTTGATCGTCTGTTTTTTGGTCCATTATAATTTGTTTTTTAGTTACAGTCACTTAAACAATCGGTCAATAGCCTAGATTGGATACCAAACGCAATCCGCGTGGCCGTCTTCAGAACTTTGCCTGTGTCGGACCGCAGTGCGCTAATGCAACATTTCTTTAGCTTAATTAAAATTTCACATGTTTTAAAAAATATCATATGATCTTAAAAATTTTGTTTTTATTTTAGAATTATTTTAATTTCTTTACATTTGTTACTTTTGTATAATTTATTTTTTTACTGTTAAGAATTCTCTTCATCGTGACTGCTGTTTACTAGTGTTTATCGTTTTGTTTCGCTAGTGTGTAATGAATGTTCTTGGTGTGTATAAAGTTTGGTTAAGAGTTTTGGTAAATTCCAGTTATTTTACCAGAAGTTATCAAAATGGCTTTACTATCAGCGAAGCAGTTGTTAGATGAACTTATGGGAAGAGACAGGGATTTAGGTTTAGAAGAGAAAAAGAATGATTTTACATGGGATGGACCTGATGTAAGTTGATTTTAGGCCTAATGGTTGCTGCATTCATATAGATGGATGAGATAGACTCGAAGATTTGTTTATAATAAAGTTTATACTATAAAGTCATTGCAAGATTTATTCTCTTACATATTACAATTTAGGTGTACGTGTATGAAGTGCCTCTGCACTGAATGTTAATTGAAGCTTTAAAAAGCAATCAATCATAATTATAAAATGCTCTAGAGTGAATATTATATCAGAAGTTAATAAAATAGAAAATATGGTTTCATTTTAAATTAAAAAAACTTTTAAATACATTGAACCTGTGTTTATTAATTAAAAGCATATCATAAACTATCCTATATAAAAATTTGCATTTTTCAAGTAAATTTCTCTAATGAGATATTTAATCATAATTTTAAAGGCATTATGATACACTTTCACCAACAAAATCATTACTGTTGTTACTATTACGTAGTATAATGTATTTGTGCTTTGCAACGCGAGTGTGCATTAAGGTACTGTTAGAATCTTTTAATGACGTTTTTATAACGGCTTCAGATGTTACGTATTATGCAGAGGGCTGTATAAACTAAAATGCTGAATTTAACCTAGATGCTTTTAATAACACTAATAGTTTCAAGTTATTTTAACAAAGCAAAAACATCCACCATCATACATTGTTTACAGAAGATAAAATCAGAGCAGAAAAACTTGTATAACTTTCATACAGAAACATAAATGTTTCTTCCTCTCACCCAAATTGATCTTGCATGAGACATTTAATGACTAATTTCAGTCAGCTTTTAGTTTAAATACTACTCAATCACATGTTTATTAACTTTGAGCCACAGTGGGAAGATTTTATAATTCTGTGTGAAGTTTAATTTTCCCATTGTCTGTGAACAAACAATATTTAAAGCTTCAAAAACAAATGTATTGACTAGTTGAACACAAAAGATTTATAATTAAAATACTCATTAGAAGTCATTTAAGAAATGTAAATTCAGAAATGTTAAAAATCTTTAAAAATTTTAAAAAATTATATTTATTTCTGACTTAAGGCATTCTGAGCATTTTTCTTTCAAATTAAAATATGTAAATATTTTTTTTTTCCAAGTTCAATTGAATGCTTATTTCTTTCATTTCACTATTTATTTACATGATACTAAAAATTCTTTCACAGTTTGCTGATGGTGCAGGAATTGAAAACACATGAAACTATTTTTTAAGTATTCATACATTTATAATCAGCACTTTTTAAAATCATGTGCCATATGCTGCTTGATGTTTTAAATCTTTTAAAATGTCAGAACACTGAGCAACGTTTTTTCGAATTAGTGTTGTTTCATCAGATTCAATTTTTATTTTAACTTCAAATCTTCAGTAACTTCTATTTGTGCTACTTTGAAAATGAATTATTTAATATAATTAGAGTTGACAATTTGCCAATAGTAAAATTTTCATGAAAGTGTTCTAAATAAGGAATTGCTCAAGAAAAAAATAATTTAAAGTCATCCATAATTTTCTGCATTATGTTTTTCAAATGTTGATGAGCATAAACGCTAGAAAATTCTTTAATATATCAACCATTAAGTTTATTTCTTAATTTCATCAAAACAATGAAAATTTCAGCATCAAAAGTTTTTCTCTATTTCTTCAGTGTTTGAACCAAAAAACAACATTAAATGTTGAGAACAATAAATATATTCTGTGCGTTTTTGGAATAAAACAAAATACAAATTTTTCTTACCGTCAATAAACTTTATTAAAACAACATAATTGCCATTATTATTAATGACTTCTTGCTAGTATTAGGGCAATTTGTATATCCCATTTTTGAAAAATGATGTAACTTTTGATGCGAAAAATTGAGCTGGTGCTTGTTTGATATCTACTTCATTTATGAATTTTTTGCACTTCAAAAAATTTTGTAACGACAAAAACAAAAAAAATTTTGTAAGGACAAAAACAAGTTATTGTCAGAGGGTGCTAAGTCCGGGGAATATGGTGTATGTGACAGAATTTCCCAGCCTAGTTCTGCAATTTTTTGATAAGTCCTCAAAGCAGCATGTGGCCTGGTATGATCATGATGCAGTACAATGTCCTTCCTGTTGAAAATCGCCAGCCTCTTTTCTTGGACTGTTGTCTTTAAATTGTCTAATTGCTAACAATACTTCTCCGAATTGAGCTTTTTGTTAGGTTTTAAAAGCTGATAATGTACTGGTCCTCGAATGTCCCACCATATACACACCATTCTCCTTATTCAGGGTCAAATTTGCTTTAGAGGTGGGAGGGCTAGGTTTTCTGGGTTCACAATATGCCTTGCCTTACGATGTATCCGTGGGTGTTCCACTTTTCATCCCATTTATCATCCAGTTCAAGAAGGCCTTCATTTTGTTCAGAGCAAGCAGAAATGTGCATATGACAACTCAATCATCCAAATTCTTCTGACTTAATTCATGTGGCACCCATCTTGAATATTTCCACACCAATCCTATCTTCCGAATATGGTTCGAAATGGTTTGCTGAGCTGAATTAAGCCTTTTGTGATCTCCCATGTTGTCACAAAAGGATCTTGCTCCAACATGGTCGTAACAACACTGTCGCCGATTTAAGATGATTGCCCAGAACGTGCCAGAAAGTTCAAAATCACCAGTTTCAAATTTTTCGAACCATCTTCTGCATGCCTTATCAAAAACTGTTCGTATAAAATACAGTGTCGTAAATGAACTTTATCAGTGGCCGTGGGTACACTATCGCTTCACACTTAAGACTAATGCAATAACTTGCTACTTCAGTATGCATACATTAAGCGATAAAAATTAAGACTGACTACCAATTAGTATTTGGACAGCTATGCAAATGACGATATCTGCGGTACCAAGGTATGACACGGACCCCGCCGATATATATCGTGTAGGAAACAGCATCGGCTTTAGTCGCAGACAAGATGCCTTGCAGTTCGGAGCTCTCTGATTTCGAGAAAGGTATAATTATCGGGTATCACAAATGTGGCCAATCCTTAAGGGACATATCTAGCGATCTGAAGTACCCAATATCGACAGTGGCCTATGTGATTAAGAAGTGGAAGGTGAGCGGTAGTTGTTGGAACGTGTCCCGAGTCGTCAGACCAACGAAACTGGGGGATAGAGACCGACGAGTGCTGTTCAGAGAAATTTGGAAGAACCGCACCCAACCGATAGCCCTCATCCGCGAGGAGTTTCAACAGGCATCCGGGAGTATTGTTTCAATGAATACCATCTGTAAGGAAGCACATCTGCTTGGTTGTCATGGTCGTGCTGCTGCCCATAAGCTTTTGATCACAAAGTCCAACCGTGCTGCTCGGTTAATGTGGTGCAAAGCACATCGAAATTGAACAGTAGATCAGTGGAAACAGGTTCTTTGGAGTGATGAATCAAGGCTCACCCTTTACCGTTCGTATGGCAGGATCTGAGTTTGGCGTCTACCTGGAGAACGTCTCCTGCCAGAATGCATTGTGCCAACAGTCAAGTTCGTCGGAGGTGGAATTATGGTCTGGGGGTGTTTCTCCTTTTATGGGCTGGGACTCTTGGTCCCCATTCATGGTAAGCTCAACTCCAATGCCTACTGCACTATTTTGGATGACAATGTGCTTCCTACGTTGTGGCAGTTTTATGGGTTGGACCCCTGTTACTTTCAGGATGACAATACCAGTTGTCATGTTTCGATGTTAACCAAGGCTTGGTATGGTGCCAATGGAGTTCATCGAATGAACTGGCCTGCCCAAAGTCCAGACCTGAACCCTATCGAGAACCTCTGGGATGAGTTGCATCGCCGAATTCACGGGTTCACTACCCGTGCAAAATCGGTGAAGGAACTTCTGTGTCTTCTCCAAGCCGAGTGGAAGAAAATACCACTAGCCGTCATACAAAAACTTGTGGAAAGTATGCCCCGGAGAGTCCACGCTGTAATTACCTCTCGTGGAGGCTCTACCAACTATTGATTTTGAATAAAGTTAGTTTTTCTTTTGTATCACAGGTGTCCAAATATTTATTGGTAGTCAGTGTATATATATATATATAATCAATGTGATTTCTATGGAATTATTATCAATTAGAAGCAGTCTGAATAATTCCTTATTTGGTCTACTTAAGGACTTGAGGAATTTTTAATTTTGAAAAAAAGGACATCTATTTTTTTTCCTCCCCCTCGCTGAACTCAAAAGGACGACAGGAATGTTGGTTAAAGGACTGTCCTTTCTAAAGGAGGATGGTCGGCAATGTTATATGTTTTAAAATACAGTTTGCTAAAACTCATTTAATTTTATATCAGAATTAAGTTTAGAAGAAAATTTGTTTGTCTTGAATAATTCAAGGCTATTAGTTTGAATAATCTTATTTAAAAATTAAATAAATGTTTGAATTTACTTGAATGAGACGAATGAGCTTGTCAATTTTTGCATTGGTAGTCTGTGTGTGGATATATGTATATAAGTAGCATCATAATCAGAATGCATTAAATTCCTCTTTTGTGGCTAAAAGTAGAATGGGATGTTCATAGATAGTGGCATTAAATTTCATGAAATGTCTGTTTTGGAAGAAAGTGTAATAAACGATTGGAATGTATAATTTTAAAACTGAGATTTTCAGCTATACATAGTTAATATGAATTTTATGCCTTTTTTGGAAATGTGGGAGGGCCAGAAGGGCAGACTCTGAGGACTGCAGAGTGAGAAATGCTGCATTAGAAAAATATTTTAATGTGTTAGACTCTTCATGAGATAGGTGATAAAATTATTTCCTTACGGTACAAAGTTCGAAATCCGGACTCGCCACGACTTCAGCAATTCCAGATTTGGGATTTTTTCGGATATTAGATCATCAGTTTAAATCTAGTAAGATGGCATGTAGAAATTTGAAATAATGAAGTATTTATGATCTAAAGAGTATCAAAATTTATAAAAAAAAAGCTTAATATTTATTTATTTACCTTGTTAAACATTTCTTTCAATGTAAGTTGTTTATTTTGTTTCTTGTGCTAATGCTTTC